GATAGGCGGATGTAATAAAGGCAAAGATTCATGAGATGGGACAAGTTCTCTTGGAAGAAGATCTTTCAGCATGGTGCTTCCTGGGCATGAAATGTATTCTTGGAATCAATCAATTCAGCACTTCAAAAAGATGTAAATAGTTTTGAGAGATTACCCATCCATCGCTCGACTTGTTCCATGTGTTACACTTTTTCAAGGCCTCCTTATATCCCACGGACAATATGGCGGCATGTAAGCTCAAACTCGGCATCTCGTATATTAAAACATCTTTACAGAATCAATTCGTGATGGTCTGCCCGACCATCTAGGCAACGCCGCAAACCTCTCTTAGAACCCTCTTCTCTACATCCTCTTGGCGCCCATCTCCTCGGACCCGTACTCGTCCCAGTCCTCCCGGCCAATCTTTCTCGAAATCCACACGCCCAGCCCGGTGGCGGCACAACTCATCAGAAACCAGCCCTCGAACCACCAATCCACGAACCGCGGCTCCAGCGCCCCCTCGAGCGCGTCCCCGACGGCGCTGCCCATCTCCCTCGGCAGGTTGCTGCGCAGCAGCAGCGCCGCACTGATGACGTAGACGGCGGCGATCTGCCCGATCAGCAGCGCCAGGTTCGCCTGCGCCTGGTACAACAGGCCAGGCAGCCACTTGGAGAAGAGGTGGAACGTCTGCAGCACGCTGTTGGCGCTCGCCGCGAGGATGACGCCGGACAGCAGGAAGCTGATCTGCCGCGCCCACGCCGTCTGGTCCAGCTTAGGGTCCCAGTGCCGCGCGATCAGGCCCAGAAAGCGGTTGATCGGGTCCGACGAGCTGAAGCTCGAGCTGGGGTAGTACGTCCTCCGCAGCATCGCCAGCGTCGTGGCCAGGATTCGGTACAGACAGTAGAGGCTGAATATGTAGTGGGGCACGGCGAGCAGCTTACCCAGCGGCGTCGCGGCGCGGGCGTCGGCGGCCTGGCGCGAGCGCATCATGCCCAACGACGAGCCGAGGTTGGCCTCCATCGTCTCCAGGCCCGCGATCTCCAGACGCAGCGCGCGCATCTCGGCCTCATCACCGCCCATGCCGCGCACCGCGCCCATCATCTTGCCCATGAACCCGCCAGAACTGGACGATGCCGCCTGCGCCTCGGAGGCCTTGCGCTCCAGCGCCTGGAGACGGTGTCTTTTCGTCAACAGCATCTCGTTCGTGGCATCCAGCCCGGCCTCCTTCCTCGAGATGTCGGCCTCCGTGATGGGCCGCCTTCTCCTCTCCGAGGCGGCGCCAAGAGTGTGCCAGGGACTCGATACGGCCGCGAAGCCGCTGAGCATCGCCATCAGGGAGATGCCAATAACCCCGATCCGCTCGAGGCAGGCGCGCAAGACACCCCCGCCCGCCGTCGTCGTCTTGTCGAGGCCGACCAAGCTGCCCAAGCTCCAAAAGGCAAACAGCCATCCGGAAAACACCAGCAGCAGAACCCCCCAAGCAAACTGCGGGATCTTGCCCCTGCTGTTCCTCTGAAACTTCCACCCGAGTCCCGAAATGACGCTCTGGATCTCCAGGAAGGGGATGATGCCGACGAGCAGCACCAGGAGCGTGGGCACCGTGAAGCGCAGCCCCACCTCCCGCGCGCGGCGGCTAACCAGGTCTGAGATCTCGCTCAGTATCAACTCGCCCAGCACCGTGGCCAGGGCGATGGTTATCGAGAAGACGGCGGCCGCTACTCTCCTCCTCGGGCTCTTTTGTCCGTGTTCGGCGTGCGCCTGCCGCAGGCTGGGCGGTGCGTGCGACGGCAGGTAGTGGTCCTCGCCATCGTGAGCGTTGTGTACTCTCGCGAGCTTCGGAAAGATCTTTCGGTTTGCGACGGCGGCCACGGCGGTAAAAGTGGCGATAAACGGCAGCAGCGAGAACAACAACCCGGCCGTCGATGGGGCATTAGGGTCTACGGCAGCGCAAGCGGACTCGTCGCATGAGGAGCTGAACCAGGGCATCTGGGGCGGCTTGGTGGGGCGTTTGCGCGCGATCGAAAAGACATGTGCGATTGGTGTGTGAAGGAAGCAATATTCATCCTGTTCCGGTGGAACTACGGCGTCGAGAAGGGGTCCTTTTAGCGAGGAATCAGTGAGGCTGGCTTCGACATGGTACGGAATGTAGTGCTTGACTTTGGGTAACCGTTGCAGAGCGACAGCCAAAACGGACACATTCGTAACCTCCGTCGTGGTCTGTGTCGCATTCTGATTCAGCCACATACCTGTCTCTGTCTATACTACGGATACCTAGGTACATATCTAGCTAGACTTCAGCCATCTGGTACCTACTTGGCCCCAGCGTGAGCTCCAGCCACACCAGCCACATTCATCGCTAAATTCTCCACCCCACATGATGAGACGAAGTGGCCAATGGCCACTATGGGAAGACTCACCGTGGCAGGTCGATGGGGCGACAACCTCTACAAGCAGGCAGGAAAAGACATATTGCCTACGAAGGCGACTATTTACAATATTCCGTCTCTGCTTAATTCATGTCTTTATTGGGTATCAATGCGTGGGCCCATGGAAGAGGGAGTGTTGCTGTAATATCCGCCTGAACTAATTCCAACGCAACCGCCCGCAACCTTGTGCGGCGTCCTCACCAGCAACTAAATCATGCCGACCCGACGCCGTCGACCAAACGCCCCCCCCTCTAGAGTACCTATGTATGCACAATGAAGAGCTCTTGCCTCGTGGAATAATGACTCCCTGTCTGACGGCCGTCCCTCGTTCCCCCCTATAGCCAGTCAAATCAACTGTTGCTGCTATTTCGAGACACCTTAGAATCCACATCGTCGTCGTCGGCCCCGCTGGCACTAGAGTCGAGGCTGGATTTCCGGTTCTGCTTAAGAGCCGCCGCCTCGTTGGCCTCCATCTTATGCAGCTTATCCATCTGCGAAGAGTTGATGGCTTCCTCGCCCGTGAAGACCTCGAATTCGTCATCGTCGTCGTCTTCGTCTTCGTCGCTGTCACCGGCGGCACTGGCCGGTGCAGAGGATCTGCCGGGATCCGCTGTGCTCGATTGCGAGAGGCCGGATGGAATCGACTGGTGCCTGGGATGCAGGAAAGCGTTCAGATCGACCGGCTTGATGGTTGGGTCGAAGGTTGCCGGCAGCCCCAGGGCTTTGGCGACCTGATGGGCCTCTTCGTCGGCGGTGTTGCGAACTTCCACATTGTACATACTGCTCCTCTCGCTGTCGGCCTCGTGCTTGCCGCCAGTCGCTGACAGCATGCGCACGTACGTCTGACGTTCCGAGTCGTTCAGCCTCTTAGATTTCTTCTTCTCCCGCTTCTCCGTTGGTCGGACCACGACAACAGGGACGGGCGAATACTGCAAACAATATTTCGAGAAGGAGTTGCGCGTGTTGACCAGGCCCTGTAGGCCACCCAGCGACCTTCCTCTCGTGCCTACGATGAGCATAGCAGGTTGGTGGATTTGGATCTGGAAAATGAACATGCCTGTCAGCGCCTGCTACATACATGGCGGTTGCCGTCGTGTGCTGCGTGATGGGCTGACTTACCAGTCGCTGAAACGTTGAGTGCAGCTTGCCGCTCGCATACTCCAGCACGATTCTGATGGCGCGGTTGTGGCCATTGCGCTGAACGATGCTGTCCATGACCTTTTGCGCCTCGTCTTGATAGGCCTTGTTGGTGTCGGCCGCTCGGAGCTCCTTCTCAATCACGCGCACGCACACAACTTCGTCTCCATCGTCAACAAGCTCGTCAAGCAGCCATTGCAACGCATAATCGGAATAGGCGTGTTCGTCGACGCCCACCATGAAGGTGCGCGATCGTCGTTGCGCCTGGTAACCCTTGTGCCGGACATCAAGCGTCAGCGAGAGCGTGTTGTTCTTAGTTGCCTCGCCCAGCGGCAGGTTGTCGAATGCGACATGTGACTGGAATCTATCCGACACAGAAGTTTGAGTTAGCGTTGCCATTAAGCAATATTTTTTTCAAAAGGGTTGGCGGTTAGAACCCGCAAAGAGGCAACCGAGATGATATGTGATGAATTAGAGAAGTGCGATGGAGAGGCGAGAACGCGAAGAGACCACTGGTCAAAGTCAGGGGGGGGGCAAAAGAGGTTGTAGTTTGGCAAGAGGCAGCCTGCGATCAGGCCAGCGGGCGGACGGACGAACTGCGACAGCAATGGCAGCGATTTCTGGCTTTCTGCGGGGACGTCACGGTTCCTCCAGGCCAAGGGTGGCTGTGGGGATGATTCGACAGGCGCTTTAGGTGCCCTTTTTTGGTTTGGTGCCTCGCCCAGCTCCCGTCCGCATGGCTTTCTTTGTGAACAGCCCACGAAAGAGGCATAGACGCATGCAGCGGGGTAGTGGGGTAGCGAAGTGTAACGCCAGCGAATGGCAGTGCATGTTGAGCCAAAGAGGTTGCTGTCGTGTGAGGACCGATGGAGAGCTGCATCTGAGCGCGATGCGAACTCCATGTAAACACAGAGCGCGCTTGGTGAGGTGCCCGGCGACAAAAGGAGAGGGTGCCCGGGCAATACGTGCGGGCGAATGCAGGGGGTCCATCGCGGCGACGCCGTCGTCACTGAGGTCGCCATCATAGAAAAGTCGAATTCGTCGCTGGTCGTCCGACCCCACCAGACATCGGTCCAGGCGCTGAAGACAGCACCCCCCCCCGCCTCCTATCTCACCGTCCTCCTATGCAGCTCCCCCGCATCCAACGCGCATCTCCGTGGCCTTTGACAGCCGTCGGGTGGGGACGAAGCGGCGGCATTCCGGAAAGTCATCGTCCACTGATGAGAACCGCGCAAATTGGGATGCGGCAGTGCTGCAGGGCAGCGGGCGATTCGACAGCTTAACCGGTGTGTTCCGATGATTGCAAAAGCCGCAGAATCGACGCACGTAAGGAAAATGCAGGGGGGCATATATAGCAGGCTGGCACCCCAGAGCTACACCGCAGATACGCTATCCGCTTTCCTGGTAACGTACTTACGTCCCATCGGTCTCTCACGCGTCAAAATGTCGACGCCTTGCGAGACGCGACGGTGTGGTGCACGAGGCGTGACATTCGCAGATTGAGTGTTTGGTGAGAGGACACGCGAGGAAAGGAACACAAACGAGCTTCGGCAAAGAAAAGGAATGCTTACCTTTCAGGAGGGGGTGACGATGCTCGGATACGTTCCTTGCCCGTCTTCTTCTGGTTGCCCTGCGGCAATGATGGATTCCGCGGCGGTGCAAAAGCAAGCGATGCAGCCGATGACCCTCTAGGCCTCCCTGCGTGGGACTCTGTCCTCGACGATTCGGCCGAGAAGCTCCCTGATGCGCTCACCGGGGAAGGGCTTGCATAGCTCGAAAGCGTCGTCACACGGCTCAGGGGCTCCACATCAGCGGCGTTGGTGTCGTCTTCTTTCTTGGGCGGTTGCGGCTCAATGGAGAAATAGTCCAATTTGGGCATATCCGAAGGCTGTGCGGGTGTTTTGGGCGAGATGTCGGATCCAGGACTGTCGATGTCAAGCATCGACCGTGGGATGGGACCCGCCATTGTGTGCCGACGCTGCGGCGTAGGTTGTGGTTCCCACTGGGTTTTCGGAAAGGTAATTTTTGGCGGTGGTGTTGAGAGACTATCTTTGCCGTCCTTGCTCTTCTTCTTTTTTTTGCCGCTTTGCGAAAGCAGGAATACGCTTCGCCAGTTTTCCGAGGGCCTCATTGAAGCCTCTGAGATTGCTGCGTGGCCGGGGTCAGCATGGGGACGGCAGGCAGGCAAGCACGTAGTGGACGCCAGCAGAAGCCAGAACGAAGCAAGTACGGCAGCGGAGAGTTCGTCAACGGGAAGGGCGGGGGTGATGTGCCCTGGAAAGAACTGAAAAGCAATGTGCAAAAGCTCAAAGGTGTTTTGCGTGCGCAAGTGGTTGGTGGTGGACTGACTACACCGTCTCAAGATGGAAAAAGGGCGTCGTCTGCCGACTCGGGAGGGCGTATCGAATGGTAGACGGTCAGAGCGCTTTGTCGTTGGGTGTATTGTGTGGACGGCTCAAGAATAGTGTGAAGTACCGATGGGCGTATAAGAGGTGGTATGAGTGGTACGAGTGGTATGAGTGCAGGGGAGTTGAATATTTGTGGTTCCTCGCATCAACAGAGATGAACGGCCCTCGGTGCGCACGATGCTGATTCGGGGTGTGTCGTTTTCAAGGTTGCAAGTATGGGAGCGGCGGGTGGAAAGAGTTGGTTACTTGAATCAAAAGAAATACCCAGCAAAAATGCCAACGAGGCAACGTTGGCAAGCGCGGACGGTGATTTTTTAAAGAAAGACGGGGCTCTCTTATTGAACGAGAGAAGCAGCGTAGGAGGCTGTTCCGCCAAGGCTTGCCGGTGCTTCACAAGGCACGGAAAAGGCCAAAGATGGTGTTGTTGTCGACGAAGGCGAGGAAACGGGTCGGTCGTGTGGCGTAGCGTCGGCGCCAGTTTGAGGGTCGAGTGTCTTGGTGACGGCAGACCGGATGGGTGAACAGCTGATGTTTCTTAGTCGAACGGGTATACCAGCTGCGCTCCAATACGGGGTGGGAATGAAGGGCGGGGAGAAAGCTGAGCTTGGATGGCGGATGGTGTAGAGGTACAGCACAATGGCGAAGGATCGATGGGAAAGGCGCTCTAATACTCTCTATAACAAATTCGTGGTGGCGACCTGTGAGCAACAGGATGCGGGGGAGTGTGAGAGTGTGTGTGTGTAATGTGAACTGGGGGTAGAACAGTGAGATGACTAGATTAGACGGGGTTGGTGAAAAGGATGTCTAGAAATAGGGTTGAAAGGGCAGGGCGTGCGTCGTTCGGTGATGATGGTGTTTTTTTTTTCTTTTCTTCTTCTTCCTCTTTCCCCAATAGACTTCGATGCCGGTATGGAGAGACAGGCAACGAACCGGAGGATGCGAAGGGGGGGGAGTTGCTCTGGTCTAAGTACCTTACGTACAAGTAGGTAAGTACAGGTCCCAGTGTGTTTGCTGTGGTGCGCAGTGCTCCGCAAAGTTCCAGCAGTCGGACCCTCCCAGCATGGAGCTTATGCAAATCTTGGGCGTGACGCACAGGTCAAGCCGTCAAGGGAGTGGGAGAATTGGGAGACACAAGCAAGACAAGACAAGCAAGCAAGCAAGCAAACGAGCGAGCAGGGTAGGGGGTCGTGGTGGATGCTGCTCTCTCTTTCTCTCTCTCTCTCTCTGGTCTGGGTATGTCGGACTTTGGCCCTAGCCTGGCTTTAGGATGGTGGTATCCGTATACGATGGGCGATGGGCGATGGGCGATGGGCGGTGGGCGGTACGAAGTAGGCGGCGGTAGATGGTGGACAGAAAAGAGAATGGGAAGACCTTGGGGAGGCAAGGACGGGCCCGGTGCAGGTGAAGAGTAGGCCGGAAGGAGCAACATGGGTGGGGTGGCTAGTCACCCAAAGGCTGTTCGATCCTGTCCGTCCGACATGAGACTTACGTGTGCAGCAAGGTTTGCGGGTGGGCTATGTACCCCTCATGTCGGCTTCTGTCATTTCCTGATTTTATTTTTGCCCACCACTGCTGCATTCTTTATACTACGTAGTATGTCAGAGTGAGTTCCTACAGAAGAAGTAGCCATAAGGCAGCAGCATCGTATGCCTAAGGACGAAGTCGGACCTGTGCCTGAACTTGCTAGGCATCTCATCTGGCAAGAAGACATTGCCTGTCTGTCTGTATAGGCGCCTCCTGCCTTTTGTCCAAGAACAGGCATCTCAGCTGAACACAAGAAAGGAAAGGAAAGAAAAGGAAAGGGCGAGCGAGGTGAGTGGTGAAGTGGAGCTGAGGTGGGAGTGGAAGGTGGGAGCTAGGACCATCGCAAGGCACCAGCTGCGCCAGCTGCACTTTCCGGTTTACCATGGTACCTTGCCTTGCCGCACCTGATGTCGCTGAGGTGGTGGGTTGCAACTTTCATTTGGAAGGAGCGCAGAACCTCCCTTCCGTAGCGGCAGATCAGCTCTCAGGTCGAGTTGCTAGGCTATTATTGGTGGTGGCCCGCGCCCTCCTACCGATTCCCAGGATAAACTTGCTTCATTGACATACAGGTATGTCGAGTAAAAGCAGCCGCATATCCCATCTCTTCTCGGCTCTCAACATCCTTACAGCATGTCAATTACGGACACGGATGGAGAGAGAGTTCAGATACGACTGATCCACGGCAACCACGCCTCCAGGGCCCTCCCTTCCTCGCCACAACGATGCCAGCCGCCTTAGTGAGCCGAGAGCGCCAGACCCCTCCCCCAAAATAAACCCGAGGTCATGATCCAAAGCTTGCCAAGACCACATCAACTACCGAACCCAATCATGCTCCGTCTCTAACACGCCTCTGATGCCTCCGCCGGGCTCTAATCCCACATCGTACACCCACCTTCTTCACAACTTTCAAGCTTCTCTGGTCCCGTCTCAATATCTTTACAGCATGCACAGCCCTCAGCGATTAGCTCTCGACGACAGAGTGTACTGCATAGTACATAGATGCTTGCCCGCCACCACACAGCAGAGACGGCTCGTCAGACATGACTCTGAACGGACGAACTGGCCGGCGCCGGTCGCCCGCTATACGTTTGCTGTCTGCTGTACGCCCGTGTCATAATCCTGCAGTGACATGACATGATCGCTGAGCAAGTGGGTGTGCAGCCTCCTCCATCAGTGGTTCCCTACCTGTGCTCACCTCGTCTTCCCCTCAGACGTCCTGGCGTGTATTACCGTACTCCCATGTACGGATGGCTCCAACCAGAAGTCTCTCCCCATGCCGCGACCCCCTGCCGTACCTGGTTCAGGGCTCGCAAGACAGTAATCCAGACGCAAAGTTCACCGCTGTGGCCCATCAATCTCGTCAGTTGTCCTCCGGAAATCATCCCACGATTCCCATCTTACTTGTCACCCCTTAAAAAAAACATCCCACCAGCGTGGATGGTGGCACACGGCAGCATGCCGCGCCAAGATGATTATCGCCGCCGGAGGGTCTCCCAAAGGGTACGCCCATCAGCACCAGTTCGTTGCCTTCCGTGCATGCACATTCACGTCTGCCCAGCCGGCCTGCAACCTTTGCTCAACTCATCGCAACTTCATCCCTCCCTCTTGTTTCTCTTGACCACTCGTTCACCTCCAACTAGGTCTTGGCAAACCACACAGGCGTGCCGGCCAATCTTTCCCGTTGCCAGGATAGGGGAGTCTGACTCTGAACCTGGCTCGAGTCGGTGTGTGTGTGCGCGCGCGCGCGCTCACGCCCCAGGCTGCTTTCTTACTTCCGACCTTGCTTCTCCTCATTTCTTCTCGTTAATGAAATGCCCATACCACACTCGTCGCTGGGCCCTGGTCCGCAGCTTCGCAACCTAGCCCGTCCCATCCACACTTCGTGCCCAACGCCAAGCCGCTGCCAAGCCAGAGGTATCTTCATCTTTCCTTACAAATACAGCATGGTCCAGCGCCTGGCTTGGTGGACTTGAATCAATTCCGTATTGGAGCTGGCGGGAGCGCCTGTGTCCCACAGTCTCTCTTTCGGCACGCGAATGTCTTGGCCATGACCCATCCATGTTGCAAGGAGCTGTCTTGGTCGCTGGGGTGCGGGTTTGAGGGGTCGGTCAGATCACGTTGCACGCTACAGAGTACGAGAGCACAGGCGAGACAATCAATGATGTAGCCCCTGGAAGGGAATCACGGAGAGCCAGAAAGGATGCGCTTCCAAGACACCAAGCCGGCAGGCACAAGCGGTCGGGAAAAGAGGCAGCCCATGCCAAGGAGCGACGACGACAACGACAGTCGGCAACCGACGTCTCTTTAGCTTTACCATGAAATTCGACAACACGATGGAAATTGAAACGATGCCATTCGCAGCCCAGCGTCGCGCCCAGCAACCCGTCCCGATCTTCCGGTGTTGCTTTTTGTCGTCGACAAATGTTCCGCTCTGGGATGTATCACCTCTCGCCGGCATCATGGTCGTCACGGCAAGACTCACCGCCGTGTGCGTCCTGCAGTCTCACCGAAACAAAACGCCGCAAGGTTTTCTTTTCGAGCTTGGTTGATGGGCCAGCCATATCGCCCATCCGAACCACGAGGCCGGCAGGGACCCGTGCTCGCTTCCCGTTTGTCGAATCTCAGCTTGCTTTCGTTGGTCGGGAACGACAACCTTGACAGTTGTCAGTTGATAGTCAATTCCAAGCTTGAAGGAGTAGCTTGCCTGCTTCCTTCTCCCCTCCCCCACCGCCGCTGTCGATGGGCGGGGCGAATAACCGAAAGCCTCCAAAGATAACGATCCTCCTGGAGGCGGAATTGGTCGTCGACCAGACAGCCCGATCAAAGTCACATCGCCGCCATGTAAGATGAATGTCCTGCCGTTTCTTGCCGTCACGCGTGGTGGTCATGTCCAGAACCCGATGCGGTGTGAGACCTATCTGTGTGCCCTATGGCCTGCGTCCAAGCCGGAGTCTTGCGGCACGCAATCAGCCACCTCGCCAGTGCGACCTCTTACCTGCTTACTTTGTGCAGCGTTCCTATCTGAAAGACAACCGACACCTACCAATACCAGCGCCCTCATGCCGGCCAAGTCGGCAGATTGTACGGACAACTGCGACCACATCTGCTAGTCCCACGATCGGTTGCGCAAGCTCAAGCGTAATCATCTGCAATAGCTAGCGTGCATGCCGAAATGCCTACGATAGCCGAGCAACGACCGTTCATCGACCGTGTCACCGCGCTCATCCGTCCGGCATCCCAGAAGCTGGCGCGGAGAGGGGATACGATACGGATTGGTCCCGGGAGAAGAGACCGACGTCAGGCGCAACCCGTGATGTTTGATATCCAGGCTCTCCAGCGCACACCTTCAAGGACGCCAACAGGTCTTGGCAACTCCAAGACTCACAGAGAAGGGCACACGCATGCACACAGGGCGAAATCTGACTCGCCGAGAACTCGGCCAAGACTCTAGGTGCACAGCTCCGGGCCAGCTAAGAAGAATAACGTGAGACACCGGCGAACGTTCGACAAACTAGCCTCGCACATGCCCCGTGGCCACCCACATTGGGCTGGGGGATTTGGAAAGTCACACACATACACACACACACTCTACCCCAGCGGTCCATCCCGTACCCGTCCCCGGCCGACCGACCATTTCCCCGGTCTGCCGACGCGGCGGCTACTGTGGCAATGCCTGAAACGGAGCCTTTTCCCCCGCGGGATCCGCTCAATCTTCGTCACAGATAAATCATCGGATATGTGGGATGCTTTGGGTAACTGCGGGAAATCCAGCGTCATTTTTACCTACCTACCTATCTAATCGTTTCGATACCAATATCCCCCCCTCATCGACTTGCCGACGTGGGCCAAGATGGCTCCTCATTACCCAGCACTCTCCATCTGCCGTATCTTCTTTTACATATAGCTATACTAGCCTCGGCATTCCCACAAAGCACACTGTACATCTGAATCTTATGCCTGTCGAGCATACAACGTTGCATGCAGTCTTTCCCGGAATAAACGTGCCTGGACGCGTGTTCATTTACAGTACTCGGTAGTTTTCGACACATTTCCGCGCTTCGCGGCGGGGGCGAACGGGCGGGAGGGGAGGCTGATCAGCGTCAGGGGCGTATTGCGAGAAACGACAAAGACGGCGGCAATGCCCTTCCCGCTCTGCTTCCCTTCCTTTTTCTTCTTGTTCTTTTTCCTTTCCAGGAAGACGCGAGGCAAAGTATCTGATAAACCTTTTTGACTTGAAGATTGCCAAAGAAACCTGCCGGGCAAAAACCCTTGGCTTCTACGGACAGGCGGGCCGGCCAGGCTGCTTTCTCGGTTTCCCTATTTTGGGTTTTCGCACTCATATTTTTGCTTGCTTGCTTTTCAACCCTAAGGGGGGGGGGGGGGGGGGGGGGGGCACTTCAGCTCTCGGCAGTCCGCACGTACCTCCCCCGTCCAGTCCCCTGCAGCAAACTACACGGTGCCCTGAAGAACAATACAAAAGAAGGAGAATCAAATAGCTTCGGTTGCGCATCGTACTTGTAATTCTAATTTATTTCCCTTTGGTTCACTTCATCCCGCCCCCAGCCGAACCAGGTCCAGTGTTCCAGGAAGCAAAGACGCCTGAACGCCGTAACAATGCGAGCATCCCTCTGCCGGGGCCCTCCCATTCTCTTCCCAAGTGTTCTTTTACTTTTGTCCACTTCTCTCTGTCTCTCCCTCCCTCTCTCTCTCTCTCTGCCTCGACATCCATTGGTATCGTCAAGCGCGAGGGGAAAAGAGTATGTTCTCCCCCCCCCTCCTTTCCGCTGGCAGGTCTTTGGTAACTACATACGCGCGGGACACATGTGGGCCCCCCGCCAAACGCTCACCAGATTTTTAAAATCTTTCGTCGTCGTACTCCCTTCTTTCTTCCTTCGCGCGGCCGGCTGCTCGTACCCGCCTTGCCTTCCTGGGTTGCGTAGACCGTAGTGTGCTACGATCGCTCAAGCGTACGTGCGGGACAGGTTGCGGAGGTACCAGTCCACCAGCTTGCGGCCCACCTTAGCTTCCGAGATGTGAATGAGATCCTATGTGGCCGGGTTAGTGACGATTTCACGAGGGGGAAAAAAAGGGTTGAGGACTGGGGAACTACTTACACCCTGCATGGCGTAGTCCAGGTCGCTGATGTTGACGAGGTCGCCGTCGAGCAGGCTGGGGTGGTCGGTCCAGCGCAGCTGCTTGGTGCGCTGCTTGTTGACGAGGAGCCAGGAGCGGAGCTCGTCAGGCTTGACCTCGAGGAAGCCGGCCAGCTTGTTGAGGTCCATGGTGGTGTACAGGCGGAGGTAGGACTTGACGGTGGGGCTCCACATGTTGACCTTGACCTCCTCCATGAAGACGGCCAGGTGGTGCTCGACGGGGTCGACGTTGGACTCGGGGTTCTCAAAGTCGGGGGGCACGGGGGAGATGAACTTGGGGCAGGCGGAGCGGAAGAGCTCCTCGAAGATGGGCAGGGACTCGGGGCCGCCGCGCTGGAGCTTGAGGAGCTGGTCGCCGTACTTCTCGCGCAGAGCCGAGTGGATGGTGTCGTCGAGGCGGGTGGGGTGGAAGGCGACGCAGATGGCGATGAGGGCGTACATCTGGTCGTTCTTCTTCGTGATGGAGTCGTACTGGGCGTTCTTCTGGAAGTTCTTGGTACGGGAGACGTAGACCAGGATGTGGCTGAACATCTTGATGGCGTCGGCGTAGCGGTGCATCATCATGTAGGAGAAGCCGACGTAGTAGTACGTGGTGAAGTGGGCGGCCATGACGCGCGCGAACATGGCCTTCTTATTGAGCTCAATGTCGTCGAGCGTCTTGAGAGCGAGGCTGAAGTCGCCGAGCAGGCAGTGCACGCGCAACAAGCCGATGATGGAGAAGTAGCCCAGCATGCGGTACAGGTTCTTGTTGCCGTACTCGCCGGCGACGGCCATGGGGTCCTCGTTGCGGCGCATGGCGGCCAGCTGCTCGGTGATCTGGGAGCGCTGGATGAGCGAGTAGAGGACGTTGAGGACCGAGTAGCAGCCCCAGGTGTTGGGGTTCTCCTTAAGAACCTGCATCTCCTCCTCGTTGTTGCCCTGGCGGGCGATGCGCATGCGGTAGGAGGAGAAGGAGTTGAACTGGTAGATGAACTCGTCGATGACGTCCCACGCCCAGTAATACTACAGCACACACACACACACTGTTAGCTTTACGTTTTTTTTTTTCCCCATTTCCCCCATCATCGGCTATGCATTCGTCGTGACGGCAATTGTGACCTGATGTGGTGGGGGGAGGAGAAGAAGAAGGTGGGAATGGGAACGTACCGAGGGTGGCTCGAGGTCGACGGGACCCTCACTGTTCAGGATGAAGTGGAAAAGACTGCAGTACGAGTCGTAGCTCTGGAACTTGACCTCAAGGGGCGCGGAGAAGTCGAGGGGCTGGGCGGCGGCGGCGAGGCGCGACTGGATGTCGTCCGTCTGCTGGGCCATGGTGAGGGAGCTGGACTGCTCGAGGTCATCGCCGAGGTTGTCCTCGTACTGGACCTGCTCCTTGTAGTCGTTGACGAGGGCCTCCTCCTCGACGTCGCTGTCGTCGTCGATGGCGCGGGCGGGCCGCTCTCCGTTCTGGTAGCCGCTCATGATGGGTGGTCGGTGTGGGAGCGTGTGTATGTATGTGTGTGCGTGTGTGTGTGTGCGAGTGTGTGTGTGTGTGCGAGCCGGATCTATTTCCCGCTACGGAAGGAAATTATCGGATCCGAAAGGTAGGGGTGCGACTAGGCGAGCGTCGTGATGCCGTCAACTTTTGGTGTTGAGGACAGATGGGCGGGCGGTCGGTCGGGAAGGGGGGGGGGTTCGGTCGAAGGAGAGGGATTGGGTGGGGGTGGGTTTCTCGACGAAAAATTTCCTCTATTCTCCTCTGAGGGGGCGCGCGTTTGCTGAGGTATCGCAAAGTGAGCGCAAGTGGTTTTTTGCGATTAGGGTTCGGTTCCCAGTGGTTCCCCGTTAAGCCGATATGCGGTACGCGTGGTGAATGCGTCTAGGCGGTGTTTTGGCGGGGAATCATGCTGTACGTTTTTTTCCATTGTTTCTCGTGGCGGGGTAGAAACGCCGGGCCCGCTGAGGTAATTCACCCACCCTCGGTATGGTAAACGACGCGGGAGACGGGGAGACCAGCAAAGCTGCATATATACATATACATACACTATACAGAATTACTCATCCCTCATCGAAGCATCCAACCGCTTTGGGCTGACCTCGGGCCCCCATCTCCTTGATCTTGACATAGTTTGTTGGTTCTAGAGACAGAGAGAGAGTCATTGGCATATCCATGCAGAACTTCTTATAACGGTGGCGAATCACAGCGCTTCTTTCCTCTTTTCTTGACTCCCGTTCCATTTTCAACCCAGACCAGGCCAATATATTAGTCACAGGCCAGGACCAATCACCCGTGCCAAAGCAGCATCATCACCACCAGCGCCAGCGTCAACGTCAACGTCAATCTTCGCCTTGGAAAGCCTCTCCCACTCTTATCGGGCCCCTCCCTTACTCGAGCACTTGCGTTAAAGGCCTCGAGGGCTGCTCGGCGTCATCCATATCTGTCTGCATTGAAGCCTGCTCTTCCATCCACTTCCTCAGTTCTTCCATCTGGCATTTCCTTGTGTCCATACGTCTTTTGATACCCCCTTCAGCCCCGTCACCACCCTTCCTTGCTTTCTTTCCTTTCTTCCTCTCTTCACGCCACAACTGCCCATCATGCCTGTCGTCACCCCCGATAAGTTGGCTAGCCTCCAAAGGCATGCTGCTGATGTGCGAAATGTATGCTCTCCTCATCACACGTGTCTGCCTGTCGTCACTAACAAACACCCCTAGATCTGTATCCTGGCCCACGTAGACCATGGCAAGACGTCCCTAACAGACGCCCTCTTGGCTACAAACGGCATCATCTCCCCCAAGCTCGCCGGCAAGATCCGCTACCTCGATTCGCGGCCCGACGAGCAGCTGCGCGGCATCACCATGGAATCCTCCGCCATCTCTCTTTACTTCTCCATGCTGCGCCGCTCCGCCCCGGACGCCGAGCCCGAGGCTAAGGAGTACCTCATCAACCTCATCGACTCGCCTGGCCACATCGACTTCAGCAGCGAGGTCTCGACCGCGTCGCGCCTGTGCGACGGCGCTGTCGTCCTCGTCGACGCTGTCGAGGGCGTCTGCAGTCAGACCGTCACTGTCTTGAGACAGACGTGGACGGAGAAGCTCAAGCCCCTCCTCGTCATCAACAAGATCGACCGCCTTGTCACCGAACTCAAGATGTCCCCCGCCGAGGCCTACACGCACCTCAGCAAGATCCTCGAACAGGTTAACGCCGTGCTGGGCAGCTTCTTCCAGGGTGAGCGCATGGAGGAGGACCTCAACTGGCGCGAGCGCATGGAAGAGCGCGTCCAAGCCGCCGCCGCCAGGGAGGCGGGCGCGGATTCGACGACGACGACGGATTCGGGCGACTTGCAGTTCCAGGAGAGGGACGACGAGGACCTCTACTTTGCGCCGGAGAAGAACAACGTCATCTTTAGTAGCGCCATCGACGGCTGGGCCTTTACCGTCAGACAGTTTGCGAGCTTGTACGAGAAGAAGCTCGGCATCAAGAGGGGCACGATGGAGAAGGTGCTCTGGGGCAGCTTCTACCTCGATCCCAAGACCAAGAAGATCCTGGGCCAGAAACATCTTAAGGGGAGGAACCTGAAGCCCATGTTCGTCCAGCTGGTGCTGGAGCCCATCTGGACCGTCTACCAGGCCACCGTCGGCGGCGATCAGGGCCGGGGCGACCCGGCGTTGCTGGAGAAGATCACAAAGTCCCTCGGGCTCACCATCCCACCGCACATCATGCGCTCCAGGGACCCCCGGCTGCTCCTGACGACCGTCTTTTCGTCCTGGCTCCCGCTGTCGACGGCGATGCTGGTCTCCGTTATCGAGTCCCTCCCGTCACCGCCGGTAGCGCAGGCCGAGCGGTTGCCCGAGATGCTCGAGCACGTCCCCGGCGCGGGCTCCGTCGATGATGTGATCAAGAACGCCATGGTGTCCTTCAAGACGGGCCCGTCGGACCCCGTCGTCGCGTACGTTAGCAAGATGGTCTCCGTGCCCGAGAGCGAGCTGCCCCACAACAAACGCAAGCCCGGCCAGCTGACGGCTGACGAGGCGAGGGAGCTCGCGCGGAAGAAGCGCGCGGAGGCGGCGCGCGCCCAGGCCGCGGCCCCGTCCGGCGCCAACGGCGTCAACGACCTTGCGACGGCCCTCGAGGAGGTCAACTTGGACGGCTACGCCCCCGAGCACGAGGAGAAGGAGGTTGACCCGGAGCATCTCATCGGCTTCGCGCGCATGTACTCCGGCACCCTCTCCGTCGGCGACTCCCTTTGGGTCATCCCGCCCAAGTGGTCCCCCTCGAACCCCGGCGCCAACCCGCAGCCGAAGCAGATCACCGTCACGGCGCTCTACATGCTCATGGGCCGCAACCTCGAGTCTCTCGAGTCGGTTCCCGCGGGCGTCGTCTTCGGCATCGGCGGCCTCGAGGGCCACCTGCTCAAGAATGGCACCCTGTGCAGCAAGCTCGAAGGCGCCGTCAACCTCGCGGGCGTCGCCAATCTCGGCAAGCCCATAGTCCGCGTCGCCCTCGAGCCCGTCAACCCGGCCGACCTCGACAAGATGATCCACGGCCTGCGGCTGCTCGTCCAGTCCGACCCCTGCGCCGAGTACGAGCAGTTCAGCAGCGGCGAGCACGTCCTCCTGACCGCCGGCGAGCTGCACCTCGAGCGCTGCCTGACGGACCTCAAGGAGCGCTTCGCCCGCTGCGACATCCAGGCCGGCGCCCCCATCGTCCCCTACCGCGAGACCATCGTCCGCGCCGAGGAGATGCGGCCCCCGGCCAACAAGGAGCTCGGCCGCGGTGTCGTCGTCGGCACCACGTCCTCCAAGCAGGTCTCCATCCGTCTCCAGGTCCGCCCCCTGCCCGCCGATGCCGTCGACTTCCTCCTCAAGAACGCCGACGTCGTCAAGCGCATGTACTCGGACCGCACCGCCGCCTCGCATGGCGACGCGTCGGAGGAGCACTCCCCCGAATCCGGCGCCGCCAGCGACGCCGCCAATGGCGAGGAGAAGATCGACATCGATACCGACTTGACGGCCGCCAAGACCATGTCACTCGACAACTTCAAGCGCGACCTCCAGGCGGCCCTCGAGTCCACCCGCGGCGGCCGCGAGCACTTCAAGTCGGCCGTCGACCGCATCGCCTCCTTCGGCCCCCGCCGCACGGGTCCCAACCTGCTCATCGACGCGACCAAGGAGGGCCTCCTCACGAAGCTTTTCTCGCCCGCCGCCGCCGCCGCGGCGGCGCCCCAGGCCGACGAGGCCCTCCGCCCCGTCCACGTCGCAGACAAGATCCCCTACGCCTTCCAGCTCGCGACGGCCCAGGGCCCGCTCTGCCACGAGCCGGTGCAGGGCATCGCCGTCTTCGTCGAGGACGTCGTGATCAACGCGACCGAGGACGAGCCCACGGCCGCGACGGCGCGCGACCGCCTCCCGCGCCTCACGGGCGAGGTCATCAAGACCTTTACGGCGTCCCTGCGCGCCGGCATGCTCGACTGGTCGCCGCGGCTGATGCTGGCCATGTACAGCGTCGAGATCCAGGCGTCCACCGAGGTCCTCGGCCGCGTCTACGACGTGCTCACGCGCCGCCGCGGCCGCGTCCTCTCCGAGGCCATGAAGGAGGGCACGCCCTTCTTCACCATCCAATCCGTCCTCCCCGTCGCCGAGTCCTTCGGCTTCGCCGACGAGATGCGCAAGCGCACCAGCGGCGCCGCCCAGCCCCAGCTCATCTTCGCCGGCTACGAGGTCCTCGACGAGGACCCCTTCTGGGTGCCCTTCACCGAGGACGACCTCGAGGACCTCGGCGAGCTGGCGGACAAGGAGAACGTCGCCAAGCGGTACATGGACGGCGTGCGGAGGAAGAAGGGGCTGCTGGTCGAGGGGAGGAACGTCGCGAGAGACGCGGAGAAGCAGAAGACGCTGAAGAGGTAAAGGTAGATCGGCGTAATGATGTTGCGGGGGATAAAGTTGGAGCGTTAGAAAACCTGTGGGTTAGAGAGTAGGAGCGCGTACAACATGGCTCTTCTTTTCTTTTTCTTTTCTTTTTTTTCTTTTTCTTTTTTTTAAATGGGGAATGGAAAATATCTGGCAGCACAATCAATTCTAGCTGGCCGCGATTCAAACCAGCGCCTCATGAGAATGCATGATGCCTGTCGGTATACATGGAATCACTAAGCGGCACCCTCTCACGACACTGCTCGCTCGCTCGCTCGCCGCACGACACAACGGGATACTCGTACTATTTTCGATTCATTCACTCTCGCCTATCCTCTATTTTGGTGCACCTGACCAAGGCGCGCGGGGGGGGAAGGGGGGCTGGTGAGCTCGTCACCGCGAAAATTACCCACGACCGCCAACGAGCTTAGCCGGCACATCGACAGAAAAAGAAATAAAAAAGGGAAGAGAAAAGAAACAACAAAAATACGCATCCCTCCGCCTTCATGTTGTTTGCCCCGTCCCATCGCCGGAGCTTCTGCTCGCCTTCATTCTTTTTTGGTATCGGAAGGTGGGGGAGAAAAGAGTGAGACAAAAGCGGAGGGGGAAAAAGATTCATCTCGCAAAGAAAGCCATCCACAAAAAACACACAAGAGGGTTGGTTTCTGAATGAAGAAGTGAGGAGTCGGGAGCGCCGGGCAAGAAGTCATCAGTCATCGAACAAGCGTCCATACATCTTTTTAGTAAGAAATAAAAAAGTCCATCAACTCTGGGAGCGAGTCATCATCTATCGTTGCACTAGGCGTCGCGTTCCGCCGACAAGGGAGGGGGTGGATGGGAGAAAGCCGAGAGTGATAGTAGTAGTAGTAAGCTTTGGTTGAAATTTGTGTGGATTCCCTATGCTCCCCTTTTATCACTGGGAGCAGAAAAATCCTGGCCGAGAGGTTTCGCTGATCTTTGAGACCCCCCTTTTTTCCGGATGAGGTTCCGAGTACAGCAGAGGGGAGAGAACAAAGGAAATGAGAGAGGACAATGAGAAAGGAGAGAAAAAAGAGAAGGAAAAAAAAACATGGTCATGAGCCCCTTTCCTTCCGACATCCATGAGCCGCCCAACTTTTTTTTAGTAACCACTTCGCAAACTCCGATGAATGCGTGCGAGAATGCGCGCCTTCTCCAGTCGTCGAGAGTCGAGGAGACGTTGCCTTGCCCTCAATGGTAAGCCATTGGAAGCGAAGACCGCAGAGGGTGCCGAGTTAAAAGGAAAGGCGTTTTTTTCTTCAGCGAATCCGTAACGAGCCGGGTTTAGTTCGTTGGAGGGAAGCAAAGTGTCGAAAAAGAAGATAATCATGCCCTTCAAGCCCCAATTAAGCGGTTCGTGGCGTAAATTCGTTCGTCACAATCGTATTCGGAGTCATCTGGGTATATGTGACGAGAAACATCGTCTAGGCCGCGCATACATACACGCGGGCGCATCTTCTCGCTGACAAATGCCGACCCAACCCCACCGGGTCCGGCTGGACGCTGAATCATGATCGGACTGCGCACGCCCGCCCTCTAGGCGGAGCCCCGCGGGCCGACGTTGCGACGGCCCTTGTTAGGGACCGTGGTCCAACCGTCGTCTTCGACAGGCGCAGAAGAGTCGGCAGGCTCGGCGGACGGAGAACCAGGTGACTGCTTCTCGGCGGGAGGGCCGTTGGAGCGGGGAGCACGGCCACCCTCGCGGCCACCCTCACGTCCGCCCTCGAATCGACCGCCGCCGCGGGCTCCACCGCGACCACCGCGAGGTCCAGTCGGGGGGCCACGAGGAGGTCCAGCGGATCTCCAGCTGTTAGCCTCAGAAGCGCGAGACTTGGGCGCCTCCTTGGGCTCCCGAGGCTCCCTGGATCGGATGGGCACCTTCTGCTCGTCGGAACCGCTGGTTTCCTTGGCGGCTTCGCCTTCCTGCGCAGCCTGCTCCTTGGGGGCCTCCTCAGCCTCCTTGTTCTCGCCGTTGGCGGCGGCGGCAGCCTCGCGCTGAGCCTTCTCCTCGGCCTCCTTAGCAGCAGCCTCCTTGGCGAGACGGCGCTCTTCTTTGGCCTTCTCCTCAGCCTCACGCTTCTCCTTCAGCTGTTGCTGCTTCTTCTCCTCAATCAGACGCTCCTTCGCGGCAGTGTCGATAGGACGGGCGGCACCAAAGGGGCTGGCCTTGGAGTCGGCTGCGGAGGAGGACATGGCGTCGGGAGCCTCGGATACGGTACGCTTGGCCAGGTTCAACTTGGGACGGCCAACGGGAGCCGCAGGAGCAGCGGCAGGGGAAGAGGGGGCCTCGCTGCCGTCGCGAGAGTGGCTGGCGGACTTGCCGGAGGCGTCGGGGCGCATGCTGGATCTCCACTGATTGTCCTTTTCGGCAGCGGTGGGGACGCGCTCAGGGCGGGGAGGGCGAGAGTCCTGGCGGGGGCCCTGGCCTTCACCCCAAGCGGCGGGAGACTCACGGCGGTCGCGGAACTCACGGGGTCCGTCGTTGGTGCGGGGACGGCTGCCTTCGCGGGAGCCAGTCTCCCTGGGAGCAACGGGAGAGAGGGGGCCTCTGCGCTCCCAGTTGCCGAAGTCACGGACCTTGCCGTCATCCTCGCGGGGTTCACGGGGCTCGCGAGGTCCACGACGCTCGCCGAATTCAGAGGGGCGACGGTCGTTGCCGCCACGTCCAGGCAGGTCGGGCAAAGGCCCCTTGCGAGACCAGTCGCTGAAGTCGCGGTTGGACTCGCCGCCACGGTCGCCGCCACGGGCTGATGTCATGTCAGCAGCTGTAAGGGCATTCGTTCAACGAGGATTACTTACGAGGATCGGCAACCTTGATTCTGATAGCACGTCCCTGGAAAGTCTGGCCATCCAGAGTCAGAGCCTGCTTCAGTCCCTCGAGATCCTTGAACTCGGCGTAGGCGAAACCCTTGGGGCGCTGCTGCTCGCGGTCCTCGATGATGCGGACGCTGACGATATCGCAACCCTCGAAGAACTCATTGACGGTCTCCTCGGTAGCATCGTACGACAGGTTGCCGAGGTGGGCGGTATAAGGGGGCCTCTCGGGAAGCTTCTGAGGAAGGTTTTCGCGAATGGAAGAGTAGCCGCCGTAGTCTCCTGCGCAACGGTTAGATGAATGCCAGCTGCGTTCGTCTGAACTGTGAACTCACTTCGCTCGGAACGGTCGCCGCCGGCGCCGGCACCGCTGCTACCCCAGCCACCTTGGCTGGGACGGTAGCCAGCGCGTTCGGGGGCAGGCAGAGCCTGAGTGCCTGCAAGCACACGTCAGTGGAAAGAAAATTCGGGGCAAGTAATTGGACCGTGGAGCAGTGGCGTACCGGCTATAGAACTGTTAGCACAACTTTGGAAACAAAGTCTGGCAACGGCAGAAACTCACTGAACGTATCCTCGACCTCATCAGCCCACGATCCTCCGTAGCCTGCCGGATGTCAGTCCATGTCCACGATGTGCGCAGCAATACAGTCGGGTCGATAAAGGACCGACTGTGCGGCGGGCGGGGGTCTCTGCAAGGAGACGGTCGTCGGGGACGGGGAGGGGTTGCGACTGACTTGAGTCCTGGAGGAAGTCACCAAGCGCCATCTTCACCTGCTCCTTCTTCTTGGGCGCTATGATGACACGGGTTAGTCTTTGTCCGGCTTTCGGGTGGGGCAATCCATTCCGCGACAGAAGGGTAAGGGCGGTACGAACCCATGATTGCGGTGTTGAGGCGGCTTCGCGCGTCGAATATGATCGATGCGCGATGCGGGGAGTTGGTAGGGGAACCGAACGGTGCGGCTATTCGCTAAGGGTGCGGAGAGAGAGAGAGAGAGGAGGGGGAGAGGGCGAGGGAAGAGGTTGGATCTCCGAGGGATATTCCGTAGGGTGAGATGTCGGAGTGAAGATGTGCACCGAAGGTGTAGTACGTCGTCGGGTTGGCGATACGTCAGAGTATATGCGATAGACTTGTATGGCCCAGCTTGCGGTGGTTTGCTGGGGCTGGAGTCTTTGGAGGAAAGGTCGAAGTTTTACCCGCGCAGAGCAGGAAAAGGCAGAAGGGTAGATTCAAAGTTTGTGAGGGTTGGATAATTTTCCAGGAGTGGGAGGCACTAGCCCCGCTGTGGCTAGCTTGGATTTTTCTACCTAGCGCCCCGCCAAAGACGCTCGGGCCAGCTAGGCCGGGAAAACCCGTGATTGAACAATCCCATCAACTGGAGAGGGGCTTCCGGGGGGGGCCAACTGGCTGCTCAAGTGCTGGTGACTTCACCTGCCAGTGGACTCGGCGCTCAGCGTTCAGCGCCTCGTCAGTGGCTCGCCCCTCTATGCCATCCATCCCCCGCCCTCCCAACTCAACCCCTCCCCAGCTCAGCCTCCTACCCCCAGTACCTACTTGTAGGTACGTACCGCAGCAAGAACACCTTTCCCACTGAGATGGAAGTTCAAGGTCATCAGCAGAAAAGAACGAGAGGGAGAAAAGAAAAGAAAAAAAAAAGGGCAACAATGTTTCGATTCCCCCACCTTCCATGCATCTACCAGGTATGCACGCTTTTGAAACTGCACGAAACACATTTCATATGCGATGCCACCTCGCTTGCTTGTTCTCGCCCCGATTGATGCATGTGCTGCCTCGACGACAGCTTCCCGACTGCATCCATTTGTACGACCCCAGTAGTCCCTTTGTTATTCCAACGACATCTCGCTGCACCCTGCCGCCGCAATCACAATGGCAGATGATACGAGGAATGGCGCGATGGAACAGCAATCCCGGCCTCGTCGTGGCCTGCTGCCGCCTGGTTTGGTTGACCTTATGGGTCCGCCCCTGAAAGTTGGCGCCTTGACTGGTGAGTGAGATGCCGGAGAAAGACAACGTGAGACTTGCCCTCCAAGTGTCACCTCAACCGGTATGGCTATCAGCATCATGGCTAACGCGCCTGTCGCAGGTTCCATTGGCATGTTCAGTGGCATCGCCGCCGGCATTGTCCGCGACACCACACCAGCGCTGTTCGCTCTGGCATCCGGCATCCAATGGTTCGCCCTCGGCTCAAGTTATTGGCGTAAGTGGCCTCTCAAAATCTCATTCTCTAGGACGTTGCGCTGACCTGTCTCGTTAGTCTCGAGGACAGTAGTGATGAGCGCGTGGGGTGGTGAAGAGAAGCTCTCCAACTCCTCCAAGGCTCAGGCGAGTGCTATTGCGGGAGGTACGGCAGGCATGGTCGGGGGTTTGATCCGTAAGTCTCTTATTCCAACGGATCTCCCATCAGATCTAACGCTGCGCAGGTGGTCCGAGAAACATCGTGCCCGGCGTTATAGTCTTTTCGCTTATTGGAGGAACCGGCCAGGCGTTCTACAACAGTTTGCAGGGCCGGCCCGAGGTTACCGAAAAGAAGAAGAGTTTCTTCGATTCGACCTGGAGTCCTCTGAAGAAACTCTCGGATGACGAGTACCGTGAGATGATCGACGAGAAGATGCTCAAGATCGATGCCGAGATCGCTCTCATCGACGATAAGATTGCCGAGTTGCGCGCAGCAAAGGCGGCCAACCCCCCGCCGCCTCGTCAGGACGTAACACAACCCCCGGCGTCCAGGAGTTAGGCTGGTAGATGTTCGTCCCCCCTGTATAAAATCATTTCACCATCGTATTAGTATCATGTACCAACAAGCATATACTGCACTTCAAAGACATCTGGAAGTTATTTGAGCGCTTCTTCGCTTCAAGTCTCACGCCTCTCTCCAAAACCTATTACCGTATTGTATAAGTGCGTCACCTACTCTCCTTCTTCCACTCATATGAAGCAGAACGATCGGCTTGTGAACTTGTTCCCAGCCTTCAATGATATTCTCCCATCATATTGGGGCAGTACGCTCAGCACGATACCACTCAGCATCTGACCTGTCAACCCTTGCACCTATGTTATGTGGAGTTCTTCGCCTCGGACCAAGGGGACCTAGATTGAAGCCCGCCGTTGTTTCCACATAACTATGAGCGCGTACCAGACAGCGAGGAGCTAGTAAAGGGCGGACGATTTACCAGTAATTTTGCATGACAAGAGCTCCAAGCGCCATGTTGTATGGAGCTCCGCATTAAGGAATAGGACTTCTATGCCGCGATGATATGAACCTTGGCTTTTTGGTGTTTCCCAATATTGGCAAGCTTCCCCCGTACAGTTAGGATGGCCCAACTTTTCAGAGAGCATAATGCAGATCTCGACAGACCATAGTTGGTTTTTTTCCTTTCTCGAGGAATGGATGCAGCCTATGGATCCCCTCCATGGTAACGACCAGATCGCTTTTCTAGCACCGGACTCACCGGCTTCTGGCCATGTCAGGTTGTCATTCAGGTTGACATGGAATGCAGGAGCGAACCGTTTCCGCATAATGTAGAAAAACGAACCACCTACAACGAAGTCGGGACTTACTCTAGCACCTGCCCACGTCCTCAGCCTCAATGTCTCCTTGCCACAGTAATGCCAGATGCTGACCTGAGAGTCCCAGAGAGCAGATTATATTCCCTGGGTCCATTTGGCCCCAAGCCGATTATTTTCAAGTTTTTCCTAGATACAAAACGAAGCTCTGGATGCGACCTCATGTCCACTTGGGTATGCCCCAGACGATCTTCAGTCCAAGGAAATATTTCAGCACAAGAACCGACTCGCGTTTCACTTTGGGTGTCGAAACAGGAGTAGATCCGTACTTGTTCGAGAGGTAAGTCAGCTTTTAAACCCATGTCGAAGGACTGGAAGAGAAGCTCGCAACGTCGGTAATTGAGACATGAGAGATAGAAAAAGGTAGCTGATACGTTGACATGGTTCACCGAGTTAATGCTGGAGACACGGATTTTCAACCAGTCAGAGGCGTGTTTGGACATCCTCAGTACTCCCAGGGCAGGTAGCCGAGGAACGACCAGGCATGAGCTTGTATATCACATACTACGTAAGGGTGAAGGTATTAGTGTAGTTTGAAGACTACAGAACAGAACAGACGCGGGAGGGGTGTCCGACCTTCTCCTGGTCCCTGCACACAATCCATGCCCCTTGCCCGGCTTATCTCGCCCACCGAGACAATATCTGAGCTTTCTGTCCATGAAGGGAGGCGAGAATTTGGATCTGGCAAATCCGAAGCCATGGGAAGAGGCTACGGGAGGGCCGGGGGATGATTGATACCTGGGTCGGGGGAGAGGGGAAGCGGCGCATGCTGCACGTGCTAGCTAGAGTAGCCCTAGAGTAGCCATAGCTTCGGCGCCACATCATCCCATCCAATACAATTGTGCAGTGAGCAAAGGGAGCACGGTCCTTTGGTGCTAGTGATGCTGATGCAAGTAATTGTTGAATGATGAATCCCCAATCCCGACGAGAGCTGTAGGTAGGTACGGATATTAGTAGGTACGGAAAGGGAGTCAATGTCGTGCAGGGGTACGTACCGCGGCGAAAGTTATGGGATGACAAAAGTGTGGACACCTGGCAGCTAGAGACCCGCAGTTAAATGAGCAAATGGCCAATTGAAAGCGACGAGGGCCAGAAGAGATCAAGCATTCCCTTCGTGCCAGGGTAGGAATTAATCGAGAGTGATGGAATGCCATGCGTTGGCGCCGGAGCTGGAACGGCTGGTAATTGAACGCGCACCGACGACATGTATCTCCTCACCGAGGAGCAATGACGTGGTACTTGATATCGGCGATGACCAACCACTAAGGGGGGTGGGCTTCCTATTGGTGATTGTCATTTCCACCCGCGAAATTCCCCAACTGCCCTGTTCCTGGATTCCGCCGCTCCGTCCCTTTTTTATTTTTATTTTTTTTAACACTCCCAAGCCGAGCCTCCCGTGATTCTCTCCTGTTCTGTCTTTCCTTGTCCCTATTCCGTTTAGGCTGTTGTCTTGGCAATCAATCTTCTTGTCTCTCTACAGATACCTACCTTCGTTATTCTTGTTGAAACAAATCCAAACTGGCAACGGCCGTCTGTTGATCGCTACGTGGGCTCTGGCATTCTGCCCTCGCCAACGCCGTTATCTTTCCATTGAACAGCCTGTTATATTATAGATTGGACCTCTCTCACCCTCTTTGTCCAATTATCTCGGCCATCCGAAATTCCCTCCATCCGACCAATACCACCTTGCGCGCGCACACACACCTACACACACGCTCGCTCTCTCACCCACCCCCCTCTCCCCCCTCCCCCCGCTGAGGAATCCTGTACTGTAACCTTACGAATCCCTCCCTTCTGTCCAGGCATACTGCGTAAGAGCCGACAGCAGCCCCCAAGGAGCAGTAGAGTGATTGCAGGGTTCTGTATGGAAAGTCACCTCCACCTCGTGCCAAGAGATCAGTAAGAAAGAACAGACCGCAGACGGACAAGGGGCTCAGACGAAACGACGACGTCCTCTCACCTTTCCAACTGCGTCACTACTCTGCAAGAGCTGCACCTCCGATCCGCCAGCCGTTTTCCCGCCAGATCCTCCAAACACGCACAACCACACACTTGGGACACACAACCGCCCGCCCACACTCGACTTCCGGTCCGTTCGTCCCTTTGCCCCAACGGAACGCATACTCCGCACCGCACCGTATTGCCGCCATTATTGTGTTTTCTTCTTCTTCTGTGGTATATTAAACTACACGCCACACGCTCTTATCATCACGACGCTCGATCCCCACGAACCGCCGATAGTATTTGTCTCTCCCTTCCTATCGACCGGCCAACAAGGGATCTGATCGGCATCCCACTTACTTTCACCTTCCGCTGTTCCTGCGAACCTTCCACGCGACACTTTCAACTTATCCTCGCAGCCGACCGCTCGCGCTAGTAATACACACCTTGTCGACTCTGCACCGCGCGGGCGCCGAACTCTGCTGCACCAAGCCGAGTGTACACCACTTTGTTAATCACCCGCTCGCAAACACACCCAAAGACCGGTTCTCGACGACATGGCGCGCTCGGATCGTTGGAAGCGGAAGTAAACGTCCGGGATACCACAGAGATCCGCTTCTCTCTAGGCAAGTCGCCCTGCTTTACTTTGCCTCGCCCTTCTGTTCCGCTAGCTCCGGTTCACTCCTCCCGTATCCACTCCGTTTAGAGCCCTTTTGGACTAATATCGTGCTGTTGTTGGCGGTGGTACAGATAGCGAAGCGATCGATCGCGCAAGTCGTTTGCGGCCTCACTATGGCTCTGCTCAACCCGACCTTCATCTTCGGCGTCGTCGTCCTGCTCTACCTGTCCTCCTTTATTCTCTTCGCCGTCGTCCGAATCCTTACCGGCGTATCTATACAGAGAATAGGCTATTTCTCCCTCCGCCGGCTCGCGTACACGCCACGAGATGGGTGCAAGATCGAGGTTCGCGGCCTGGGGCTCAACATTCACCGTCCAACCTTTGCCCAGCCCACATGGTTGAGCGTCGTTATCAGCGAGCTGACCGTCACGGTCGACATTGGCGAGCTCGAGGGAAAGAAGAGCGAGGATAGTTCCACCGACTCGGACAGCACCGATGCGGAGGAAACTGAGACTGAGGCCCAGGCCCCCGAACAGCCAAAGGTGCCACTGCTACGTCGGAACGGCGGCCCTCCGCCTCGGAGCCAGGCCTGGAAACATCTTATGAAGCTGAAGGACCGGATCAAGAGGGCCCATCGCAAGCTCAACTGGCTGCGCATGGTCGACGTCGTCGCGACCAATTCCACGATCAAGGTCGTTGACGTGGGCGATGTGCAGTTCGGAAGCTTGACCGTCGCCGTCGACACGCGGCGCAAGATGGTAGACCGCGCACGCTTCTTCTTCCAGTCTCGGACCGACAGGAACAAGCAGAAACAGCGCCAGGCCGAGTGGATAATGACATTGCGCAGCGTTCTTTTCACACCGCAGGGCAAGGAATCCCTCGAAATCCTCGACAACGCGACGCTGAATATTCACGGATTTTTGTACGAAGCGCTCGACGGGCTGAGAGATGCTGCCATCGCGCTCAAGCTGGGTCGTGTCCATATACCTTACGACGACGTCCGGATCTGCGCCGATAGACTCAAGCAATGCAAGATGGCCGCGCGCTCATCCACACTGCTGGACGAGCCAGCCGACGTGTTCATGGACAAGGTCATACACGAGGTCGCCCAGCCGGGCAGCACAGACCAAGAACTGATCCAGACGGTATCTGATTCGAAGGAATTCATCAGCTCGATCCTGAGGGGCGTTAAGGAGGTCCAGTTCGCCGTCAGTTTTATCGGCATGACGAAGAAGGTGGAGTCCGTCAAGCCCAGTGCCAAGCCCGTCATGCTGAATGCTTCCATGAAAGAAGTCGGCATCGACTTGCACCGCCTGGACCCCAAGTCCCCTTCCCACAGAATGTACTTCCCGTCCAAGGACATCGCTCACGAGGCTCTCGCCGCAGCGTTGTCCATCTCTGTCGGCGTCGACGACGGCGACGGCAAGCCGGAGAGGCTGATCTACATCCCAATGGCAACAACCACCGTCAAGACAACATTGCCCTCCAAGACGGTCGAGATGACGCAGGACGTGGGGGCCGAGGAGAGGAATGCAAACATCCTCTTCGCTAATTCCGTAGTAACATCTCCTTCGGTGGACCTCGACCCTCATCACCTGCCGCTCATTGTCGCCATGCTAAAGCCCAAGTCCTCGAAAAGGCCACGCCTCAACCACCATCCGCGTCATATGCTCATTTCGAGGCTATTACCCAAGGCTAATATCAAGTTTACCATGCACGAGCCAGTCCTCCGC